ATCTACAGTGGGTCCTGGGAGGAACACCTGGTACATGTAGGGGTAGTGCTGGATAAGATTAGGGCCGCTGGCCTGACGTTGAAGCCAGAAAAGTGTCATCTAGGTATGGCTGAAGTGCAGTACCTGGGTCACAGAGTGGGGTGTGGGAGCCAGAGACCGGAGCCAGCCAAGGTAGAGGCAGTGGCTAACTGGCCCACACCTACTACTAAGACCCAGGTATTGGCCTTCTTGGGGACGGCAGGGTACTACAGACGTTTTGTCCCTGACTACAGCGCTATCGCTAAGCCCCTGACAGACCTGACGAAGAAGAACTTGCCTAAGCAGGTCCTGTGGTCTCCGGCTTGTGAAGCTGCGTTCCAGGCACTGAAGCAGGCTCTTGTGAATGCCCCTGTCTTGGCTGCCCCAGTCCCTAACAAACGCTTTCTCGTCCATACAGATGCTTCCATGTATGGACTGGGGGCTGTGCTGAGCCAAGTCGGGGAAGATGGAGGAGAGCACCCTGTCGCATATCTCAGCAGAAAGTTGTTACCCAGAGAAGTGAGTTATGCGGCAGTGGAGAAGGAGTGTTTGGCTTTGGTCTGGGCATTGAAAAAGTTAAGCCCCTATTTGTATGGGCAAGAGTTTTCCCTTGTGACTGATCACAACCCACTCGTTTGGCTTAACCGGGTCTCAGGAGACAATGGGAGACTGCTGAGATGGAGCTTGGCACTACAGCCCTACAATTTTACCATCAGCTACAGACCCGGTAAGCTAAACGGAAACGCAGATGGGTTGTCACGACAAACAGACGTTTCCATCACCTCGTAGTCCGGTCATCCCCAAGTTGACCCGCCACAGGGTCAAGCCGGGTCTGCCGGAGTGTCCCACAAGGAGGGAGCCGTGTGACAGAACCATCTGTCTGCTGGATTTTTGCCCGTTCGTCTGTTTGTCCCCGTTCGTATGAATGGCTGGTTTCTATAGCCCAGCCATTCGAATGACTCTTTTTCCCGAACAAAACCGCCGAACGAACGGCCACCCAAGTGAGGAGTGTGCTGCAGGTTAACGAAGTGATCACCATTATAACGTTGTGGTTAACCGCAGACACTTCTCAATTAAACCGAACTCAGGGTGGTCGTCGTTCGTATGTCGACCACGAGGCAGCGGCCATTTTAAATCATGCGAACGCTCAGCGGTGTTTGGCTCTATTTCTATGGAACGGAAAACGGACACTTTTTCTGTCGAACACCGCTGAAACAAGGGAACGCCTGGCTGCCTCCACGAAAGCATGCGAACATCGGCCGTTCGGGAGATTGAGAACACACAAAAGACTTAACCCAGATAGCCCACCCATGGAGTCATTCGTGTACCGAAGGACTGTAAGAACTTTGACTCCATGGCGATTGAACTATGTGTGTGGGATCTGAGCGCTATTCGCCAATAATATGCACTCAGATCCAGGCTATCTGGGGACATGTAATACGAATGGGAAATGTTCAGTTTTCATGTAGTTATGCATTTTTGTGTCTTTTATTATTTCATGTTTAAGATGGCGACTGTCCTTGTCCTGGAGTTAATTGAGTTACTTGGTAATTAACTCCAGGACAGAGGGGAGGGAATCAGAATGCACTGTGGGTAAAATATGTGACTGTGTGTCAGAAATGTCCTGCTATCTGTCTGTACTTTAAGTCTTCCATTTGGTCCCCTAGGGGAGTGTCCACCAGGTGGGAGACCTGCATAAATACGGGCAGGTAGCCCACAGTAAACCAGATCTTATTTGACCCTCAATGCGGAGCTTCTGTCTCGTTATTGGGGGGGATTTCTTCTTCACGTTTAGAGACTGCTGGATGGAACGAAAGCCGCTTTGGGGATATTATTGTTCGACGGTTCCTAGCAGTTCGTATATTGCCGTTCGGGAGTTTGGAGCCGTTCGTGGATTTCGATCGGGAGATTGCCGCTTCCCCTGCATTTGGTTCGTGGGTTACCGAGTAAGCGAACAGAGACTGTACTGCAGCCGGGGAAGGTTTACTAAACGGCGGTTTGGCCTAAAGACACGGGAGGTGTCTTAACAGTATCCAACTTGAAACTCAACGTGGAAAAGTCCGAAGCTATGCCGATAATGCAGGGAGAGGAACAGGCCCGCCAGCTCAGAGCTCAGTTCGCCTTCTCCTGGTGCGCAACCAAACTACGGTACCTGGGAACCTGGCTACCAGCGGATCTGACGCAGGTATACAGGCTGAACTTTCTCACTATCCTCTCCGCCATACAACAAGACCTCCAGCGGTGGACGCAACGGTACGTATACTGGTTCGGCCGCATTAGTGCGGTCAAAATGAACATTCTCCCCAGGCTGCTATACCTCTTCGCGACACTACCCACCAGGATCCCCCAGACGTTCTTCAACTCGGTAACAACAGCGATCCGTGGGTTTGTGTGGAATCATAGGCAGACGCGTATCCGCAGGTCGATCCTGGAGAGACCGAAAACAGCGGGAGGGATGGGGCTACCATCAGTGATCTCATACTATAGGGCCACGCACCTCCACAGAATAGTAGACTGGCACGCGAGGCCCAGCGCCAAACGATGGGTTTCCATGGAATTGCAACAGACACAGGGCACTGTCCCGTCGCAGCTCTGGCTGGGGGGGTCCACTTTCACCGACCTACACACTAAAAACCTGATGATAGATGCCACTCTCAGGATTTGGTGCGGACTAAGGTATGTCCACCAACTCACCACCTCCCCAAGCCCGCTTACGCCCATTACACACAACCCGGGGGTGGCTGGAGGCCACCACCCGGCTGCCCTACACAACTTTCAAAGGACAGATTGGTTCTATGTACGCCAGTGGAGTCCGGGGGGAACGCTTCAACCGCTGGGTGACTTAATAACGGACAGGCAACCTACTGCGCTTGACAAATTCCATTATCACCAAGTTAGGTCCTACTATGCCAAACTCCCGGGGAGAACTCACCTCCAACGTACACTTACGGAATTTGAACGATTGTGCACAGATAGACGACATCTAATCCATGGGGTATCCTATTTATATGCTCTGCTCCAGCAGACAGGGGATAGCGGCCCACTAGGCTACATGAGCAGATGGGAAAGGGAGACGGGTACACAGCTGACAGACCAAGAATGGGATAAAATATTCCTCCTCACCCATAAATGCTCAATCAGCTCGAAACTCCAGGAAACCAGTTACAAATTGTTAACACGGTGGTACATAACACCAGACTCACTGAGACATATACACGGGACGGACACGGGCGACTGTTGGAGATGTGGCTTAGAGAGAGGCACTAGCCTACATATCTGGTGGTCATGCCCCCGTATCAAACCATACTGGCAGATGATCAGGACAAAGATCAAGGAGATTACAGGGGACGACATCCCCCTACAGCCACTACCGATGCTTCTACACCATACACCCATCCCCACGCAGGAATATAAAAAGTCACTGACAATTCACTTATTAAATGCAGCAAAAGCTCTTATTCCCCTGCACTGGAAGGGTCCATCAGTTCCCACTCTTAGACAATGGATAGACAAGGTGGAGACCATCTACGACATGGAGATTCTGACGGCCTCCCTGCGAGAGCGCACGGATAAGTGCGCCCTGACTTGGTATCCTTGGAGGCAGTATGTCTCGGGTGGGTTGGCATGAACCATTGAAGCACTGAACCTACCCGGGGCACCGGGACCTCGGTAGGCGAGACTAGACATGCGGAGCCCAGGATGCTCCCGAGAGACCGGGGCACCTCCGGGAGGGCTGCCCCAACAGCCCCTATACCCGATATCTCCCCCTCCCCCTCTCCCCCCCTACGCAAACTACCTTTTAATTTTTTAATTTTTTTTTTCCTTCTTCTTTTTCTCTCTTTTTACTTGCACTTAGTACGGAAAGCCTGAACCTGACAGGCTTCGACCGGACCATACTCAGACGGACATATTACCCAGAAGTCCACGTACGACACGTCTGACACGGACAGGCCATACCGACACAGCCGAGGAGGTTGTCACCCTCCTAGACATACATGCTAAGGAGGGGCTAACGGGTACCAGGCTGACCTCCACCTACCAGAGGTCGGTCGGTTCTTCTCTCCCATACGGAGCGAGGTGATCCGGAGCGCAACACGCCGAAATGGCCCGGGTGATTACCATATCCCCCATGACGGACCGCCCATAAGGGTCGACAATTAAGCAATTGGTGCGCACCTCATGGTGCACACACGGACGCGGGGTTAGACGACATACACCATATCGGCCGAAGGCTGGCCGACTTTCCATATGACCACTGCCGAAGGCATAAGTCCGCACGTAGGCAAACTCCGGATTTCGAAGGCAGGAAATATTTGCAATTGTTTTGATGTTCATACATGTCTTGTACTTTTTACTGTTTTACTTGCCGTATGCTTACGGAATTCATGAAAATATATTTTCAATAAATATGATTGACACAAAAAAACTGCTGCTGCAATTCAATTTTTACGACAGCTGGCGCACCTTACATCCCTCTGACAGAAACTACTCATACTACTCTAAAGCCCATAGATCCTACTCTAGGATCGACGTGATATTGGTCCAAAGCTCTTCCCTCAATTTGGTGCAAGGGTGTGACATGGGAGACATAATCTGGTCGGACCACAGCCCAGTCACCATACCCATGGAGACTCAACACTAGGTTGCTATCTGACGACTCCTTTCGACAAGAAGCAGAGAGGGACCTCTCACAATACTTCGTCACTAATGACACCCCCGACACACACACCTCCTCCACGTGGATGGCACACAAAGCTGTCATGCGTGGGATCTTTATACGTAGGGCTTCCTACATCAAGAGACAGGCCCAAACAAAAACCCTCTCCCTTCTCCGCACCCTGCGAGACCTCACCGCCCACCAACTCCTCCACCCGACTGCTACTAGAAGGTCCCAAATTGAACAAACCCAGAGAGAGCTCAATGATATTTACATAGCGTGCGCGGCGCGCACCCTACACATGCTGAAAGCAAAACAATACGCCATGGGCGACAAGGCAAGTGCTTTACTCGCTAATAGATTGCGCGCAGTTAACGCCCAGTCAAAAATCGGATATATACTGACTGACGATGGTAGAAAAGTTGTCAAACCCCAAGACATCTGTAATGCCTTCGCACAATTTTACAGCAAACTGTACAACCTCCGGGAAGATGCGGCAACGCACCAGCCCACACCAACAGAAATCTCCCAATTCCTAGACCAGATGGCTCTCCCCAGCCTGACAGATGACCAAAAACACCTATTGACAGAAACAGTCACGTCACAAGAGATAGAACAAGTGATAGCGGCCTGAATAAAAAGGCTGAACAGAATAGCAGGTGGATAGCTGATTGGATAGATAAACTGATTGATCTTGAATGAGCAGGATATCAGTAGTAAGTTATACTATATTTTATAACTTAAAACTCTAAACCCAATTAATCAGTATATACTCTCTTGGTTCCTTCCTTTTAAGGTATAACTGAATGGGCTTCCTATAAGATGAAAGATAATTTCTAAGATGACTGGGGTAATGTTATGTTAGTTTGTGTAATGTTTGTGATATTGGTTTTTGTTATTTTTCTGAGGAATTTGCCTGTCAATTTTTGTAATTTGATTGTCAGGCTCTATTAATTTTTTTTTATTGTATATGTGTGCTGTAATGTACTGTGTTTATAAAATATAATGAAATAAAAAGTATTTAAACTAAAAAAAAAAGAACAAGTGATAGCGGCCCTGCCTCCTCACAAGTCACCAGGCCCTGACGGCTTCCCCAACCTGTATTACAAAACGTTCGCCTCCATCCTCTCCCCCCAGATGGCAAAATTATTCACAGCGGCAACCGCCGAGAGTAGGCTCCCGCAGGAAATGCTAGAAGCCAACATAGCCACGATACCCAAACCAGGCAAACCTCCCACGAAATGCGCCAACTTCTGACCCATATCCCTGTTGAATACTGACATTAAAATACTGGCGAATGTTTATGCGAACAGACTAAATGGCATCCTCCCCACTCTGATTCACTCCGACCAGGTAGGCTTCATCAGAGGGAGACAGGGGGCAGATGGGACACGCAAAGCGCTTGCCCTTCTACAAAGCATGAACCGTACATCCACCAATAGCATACTCCTCTCATTGGATGCCGAAAAGGCTTTCGACCGCCTGCACTGGTCATTCCTCCAGTCGGTCCTCGAGAAATGTAACTTCCCCCCCAAATTCCTGGCGGTGGTCAAAGCGCTCTATAATGAACCCACGGCAAAGGTATTTAACGCAGGCTTTTGGTCCACCCCATTTTGCATAACAAATGGGACACGGCAGGGATGCCCCCTGTCACCCATACTATACATCCTGGCACTGGAGCCGCTAGCTGCTCTGATCAGGGATGACAACCGTATACATGGGGTGCGCACGGACGGCAGGGAAGTGAAATTAAACCTATTTGCCGATGATATACTCCTCACCATCACTGACCCCAAGACGTCACTACCAGCATTCCACGACATACTACACACCTACAGTAGATGCTCTTACTATAAGCTTAATCTCACAAAAACACAGACCATGGGGGTGAGGATGGAAGGCAACTATAGGGCGGACCTCGAGAAGGAGTTTGCTTATGACTGGAGGACAGACCACCTCACCTTTTTAGGTGTTAGACTTCCCCACCATCTCCCAAAACTTTATGATCTCAACTACGTCAAACTGAGCAAGGAAATAGCAGAAAGCCTCCAACAATGGAGAAATAAATACATCTCCTGGTCGGGACGCATAGCGGCTGTAAAAATGGTAATACTGCCCAAGCTGCAGTATCTATTTCGAACAGTTCCGCTAATAGCTCCCACGCGCTACTTCCAAGCGTTACAAAAACAAATCAATATGTTCATATGGAATGGCAAAAAGCCCAGAATAGGCACAAATACCCTTTATAGGACCACACAGGCAGGTGGCATGGGCCTACCTAACCTCCATGGGTACTACAAAGCGGCCATATTGACCAGCCTAGTGGCAGCCCACCATCACTCCGACCAACCGCAGTGGGCATATATCGAGAGCTGCTGGACACAACGGCTCCATATATCTACCCTGATGTGGCTGACCCCCTCCCAAAGACCTGACTTGGCGCAAGCGCTCTCGACCACCACCACTACCCTGAAAATATGGGACGCTTTGCGCGCGCGACTGTGTGGATGTCATCCTATATCACTGGCCATGACCCTCAGGGCACTGGCGGAGCTAATCCCTGAGTTTAACTACAAATTGTGGAACAGGTGCGGAGTTACGCACCTGCATAACCTGCAAGATAAGGGAACGCTGCTACCCTTTCAAGACCTTAGTACTAAATACACTATCCCACATATAGCCCACTTCTCCTATAGACAACTGAGATCCTGGTGGCTCACACATGTGAAGACCCCACCAGCAGGCCCCCAAACACATCTCCTCACACACTTTGAGAAATGTCTGCTCGCAGGTGCACCTGCCAAAGGGCCCATATCGGCCACCTATACGCTCCTGAACACAGACACGGAACTTGGCAATCTCCCGTGGGCCAAGGCTTGGGAAACAGACATAGGCTGCCAGATCCCTGAAACCACATGGCTCAAAGCCATAAATAGCTATAAAGGCAGATCAGCCTGCGCAGCCCACATGGAACTCATGCGGAAAATAGCCTACAGGTGGTACATGGTGCCCACACGCCTGGCCAAGATACTGCCATCGCAACCAACCACCTGCTGGCGCTGTCACAAAGACACAGGCACATTTCTACATATCTGGTGAGGATGTGACGTTATACAGACCTACTGGAAAGAAGTCCTTTCCCTCATCCACTCACACACGAACATCAAAGTCCCCAACTCCCCAGCCTCCCTCCTACTGTTCATGTACGAAGACCACTACTCTCCAGCCGAAGGTTATTTGATATACCACATCCAGATTGCCGCTCTAACACATATAGCCAGAAACTGGCTCTCCACATCCACAGCGACTATGCAGGATCTGACTAAGTACATCTCTACAGTGGGGAGGTATGAACTACACACTGCCCCCCCCGACAAAACGTCAGTCATGGAAGCGGGAGGTTTGGGAACATTGGGCCAGGAAAGCCACAGACTAAAAGACAGCAGAGAGAACACACAAACATACGGAGACATAGACACTACGACGATAGCCAGGACATAAGAGACAGCAATGAACATTACGGGGATGAACCCGAGGTGCACACCTGATGGGCCCTACTGAAGCTAGTTTAACATATTCCAGAGCAGTCCCCCACCCCCTTCCCCTCCACCCCATATTCCTGCTTTCCCCCCCTCCCACCACTCCCGCACCGCCCAGTACGCACATACTCCCTGCGGACCCCATTCCAAACAAGACAAATGCAACCACGCCACTGGCGAGTGATAAACGACACACCTAGCACTACTACCAGGTCATACAACTTTATCCACTCATCGACGTATATGTAGACTGTTGAGGCCCAGTGCAAAACTGCGCATAACTATGCAAGCTTAAGCAAAACTATGCCACACTGTGCAAAATTATGCAAAAATGTGCAACACTGTGCAAAACGAGGTCAAACTATGCAACATTGTATAACATTGCGCAACACTGTACAATCCTGTGCAACACTGTGCAGCTCTGTGTAACAGCTTGCGACACGATGCAACCTTGTGCAACACTGTGTAGGACTGTACAAAGCTATGTGAAACTATGTAAAACTGTGCAACACTTTGAGATACACTGTAACATGCGTTATACCCATGCCTGTACTCCCCCCCCCTTCCCTTTTATTTCTGTACCCCCCCTTTTATTTCTTTTGCTTTATGCATGAAAAATAAAAATAAAAATTGTCAAATTGAAAAAAATAAATAAAATGTAAACATTGCTGTTTCAGAAACACAAAGTGAGAATTCAAAGTAAAATTTTAAGATTAGGGTCAACATAGCCAAAATGAAAAATTCTGTCTGCTATATTTATAGTTCAGCTACTATAGTCTTAAATTTGATATTTACTTTTAATTTTCACTTTAGTAAATAACCCTGAATGTTTTACTTTGTCAGACATTATGATGTAGTGTTTTTGGCGCTTGAGATGTCCTTTTAAAGTGAACCTGTCATGGCAGATATGGGTCTCTAACTATCTGGCTTTACTCATATTATACAATTAAGTGTCTCTTCTCTTAATACTGTTAAATGGACACTCGAGTGCCTAAATATAAAATAAATTAAAATTACTGATTAGTAGATATACCCCCAATGAAAACATGCATACATTTCATTATCCATTTGTTTCATTGGAGTTATATCTAAAAACACCTTGCAAAGCATGCATTTCTCTTGTCTGCTGTCTTTGCAAGCCCTCCCCTACTAACCCTGCCCAGACCAACTGTGGCTGTCCAATCACAGAGACTTCCCAATGCAGCTCAATGAGAAGTCTTTGTAAGACAGGTGTTCTGGGCAATTTCTTCCTTTTGAGTTTAGCTCCACTGAGTTAAGCAAACTAGGAAGTAACAGCACATGTCTGCTTGAAAGCCAGGGGGGTGTAACCAGGTAAGTTTATAAAAGCGTCAATTTCTATAGAAATCTGCACTTTTTGCAAAATGAAATAAAGAGGACACACTCTTCACACATAATGCTTTTCAGCAAGCTAAAGTGCTTCAGGGGTTTGGAGTATCCCTTTAAAAGCTCATATTTTAATTTATTTCCGCTAGCCCTGCTGAGAGCATCTATTATGCTTTCAGTGGGTGTTACACTTGTTGTAAGACATATCTCTCCTGCATACCCCTATTATGGGATCAGGGCCGGACTGGGAAAAAAATTAGGCCTGGGCATTTTTCAATCAGAGTGGCCAATAAGAAGGGGGCGGGGCCCAAGAGGGTGTGTTTTGTCATCACTAATGACAAGCATGCCCCCTCTCAAAGTGAGCATGTTGGTTCAATGCACAGAGCCCTGCTGAAGAGCTCTAGCATTAGAAAAAGGCCCTGAATTTGTTCTGCGCAGCGCAAGCAAATTTAATAACATGCTTGCGCTGTGTTTTCTTTTAAATTGTCTCTGGTGTCTCCACAAGTGGGATACCAGAGGACAAAAGGGCCAGGAAAGTGTATGGTGCATGTGTTTGGAGCCTGCTTGTGGGATTGCGTGTGTGTAGAGTGTGGTGTGGTATTGTGTAAATAGGTCAATTTAATTTGTGTTTGTGGTGTAATATGTGTGGCTAGGGGCTGTAGAGAGTGTGTGTATAGGGGGCATAGTGTTATAGGGGATGTAGTGAGTGTGTGCATACGGGCTGTAGTGTGTGTGTATAGGTGACGTAGTGTGTGTAGGGGTTTTAGAGAGGATGTGTTTAGAGAATGTTGTATGTGTTTGCTGACAAGGAATGTAGTGTGTGTAGGAGATCTAGTGTGTAAAAGACCCAGAGTGTGTATAGGAGATTGTGTGTGTGTGTGTGTGTGTAGAGGATTAAGAGTGCATATAGGGTAAGGGATCAAGCGTGTATCTGGAGCGTAATGTGTGTAGTGGTGCAGTGTGAGGGGTGCTGTAGTGTGTGTATATACATAGGCGTGCGCACGGGGTGTGCCGGGTGTGCCTGGGCACACCCTAATCCCCGTGGCACGCCTATGGTTTGAGTCCTGCAGGAACAGTGTTCCTGCAGGCACTCAGCGCCCCCTGTCTCACCTCTTGCCCCTGTCATGGGGGAGGCAAGAGGTGATGGATCCCCCCCTCTCTCCAGCTCAGCCGCCGTGTGTCTGTGTGTGAGTGTGTGTGAGTGTGTCTGTGTGTGTCTGTGTGTGAGTGTGTCTGTGTGTGTCTGTGTGTGAGTGTGTGAGTGAGTGAGTGTGTGTGAGTGTGTGAGTGTGTGTGTGTGTTAGTGAGTGTGTGTGTCTGTGAATGTGTGTCTGTGAGTGTGTGTCTGTGAATGTGTGTGTCTGTGAGTGTATGTGTGTGTCTGTGTGAGTGTGTGTGTGTGTGTCTGAATGTGTCTGTGAGTGTGTGTGTACGCATATATATATATATATATATATATATACACAGGGAGTGCAGAATTATTAGGCAAATGAGTATTTTGACCACATCATCCTCTTTATGCATGTTGTCTTACTCCAAGCTGTATAGGCTCGAAAGCCTACTACCAATTAAGCATATTAGGTGATGTGCATCTCTGTAATGAGAAGGGGTGTGGTCTAATGACATCAACACCCTATATCAGGTGTGCATAATTATTAGGCAACTTCCTTTCCTTTGGCAAAATGGGTCAAAAGAAGGACTTGACAGGCTCAGAAAAGTCAAAAATAGTGAGATATCTTGCAGAGGGATGCAGCACTCTTAAAATTGCAAAGCTTCTGAAGCGTGATCATCGAACAATCAAGCGTTTCATTCATAATAGTCAACAGGGTCGCAAGAAGCGTGTGGAAAAACCAAGGCGCAAAATAACTGCCCATGAACTGAGAAAAGTCAAGCGTGCAGCTGCCACGATGCCACTTGCCACCAGTTTGGCCATATTTCAGAGCTGCAACATCACTGGAGTGCCCAAAAGCACAAGGTGTGCAATACTCAGAGACATGGCCAAGGTAAGAAAGGCTGAAAGACGACCACCACTGAACAAGACACACAAGCTGAAACGTCAAGACTGGGCCAAGAAATATCTCAAGACTGATTTTTCTAAGGTTTTATGGACTGATGAAATGAGAGTGAGTCTTGATGGGCCAGATGGATGGGCCCGTGGCTGGATTGGTAAAGGGCAGAGAGCTCCAGTCCGACTCAGACGCCAGCAAGGTGGAGGTGGAGTACTGGTTTGGGCTGGTATCATCAAAGATGAGCTTGTGGGGCCTTTTCGGGTTGAGGATGGAGTCAAGCTCAACTCCCAGTCCTACTGCCAGTTCCTGGAAGACACCTTCTTCAAGCAGTGGTACAGGAAGAAGTCTGCATCCTTCAAGAAAAACATGATTTTCATGCAGGACAATGCTCCATCACACGCCGTCCAAGTACTCCACAGCGTGGCTGGCAAGAAAGGGTATAAAAGAAGAAAATCTAATGACATGGCCTCCTTGTTCACCTGATCTGAACCCCATTGAGAACCTGTGGTCCATCATCAAATGTGAGATTTACAAGGAGGGAAAACAGTACACCTCTTTGAACAGTGTCTGGGAGGCTGTGGTTGCTGCTGCACGCAATGTTGATGGTGAACAGATCAAAACACTGACAGAATCCATGGATGGCAGGCTTTTTAGTGTCCTTGCAAAGAAAGGTGGCTATATTGGTCACTGATTTGTTTTTGAATGTCAAATGTATATTTGTGAATGTTGAGATGTTATATTGGTTTCACTGGTAATAATAAAGAATTGAAATGGGTATATATTTGTTTTTTGTTAAGTTGCCTAATAATTATGCACAGTAATAGTCACCTGCACACACAGATATCCCCCTAACATAGCTATAACTAAAAACAAACTAAAAACTACTTCAAAAAATATTCAGCTTTGATATTAATGAGCTTTTTGGGTTAATTGAGAACATGGTTGTTGTTCAATAATAAAATTAATCCTCAAAAATACAACTTGCCTAATAATTCTGCACTCCCTGTATATATATATACACACACACACACACACACACACACACAGAGCCGGCGCTATCTGAGTGCCGGCTCTGCTCTAAGCCTCCATGGGCCGGCGGGGAGACCAAAGATCTACCTCAGCGGCCCACAGCATGGAGGGAGGCAGGAGAGGACCCAGGGAGCTCTAGACAGAAGCTCCGCCAGGTTCCTCTCGCGATATCTGAGCGTTGCTGCGGCAACACTCAGATCTCGCGAGAGTTAACTCTAGCCCCGTAGGACCACCAGGGATGGCACATGGCAGCAAGGATTTACTAATCTGCCAAATCCCTCACAACATACAGCACACACACATATAGCACCTACACACATACAGCTCACACACACACACAGTACACTCACAGGACAAACATACACCCACAAACACCCTCACACACAAACAGCACAGTCACAAACACACACACACACACACACAAACACCCTCACATCACACTAACAGCACCCTCACACACACATCACACTAACAGCACACAGCACACTGTGTGTGTGTGTGTGTGTGTATATATATATATATATACACATATATATATATATGTATATAGATACATATATACACACACACACACACGCGGCGTGTGTTTGTGCTTTAGGGTGCACACCCTAATGCAATAGGCTGCGCACGCCTATGTGTATATATATATATATATATATATATATACAAAGAAAATTATATATATATATATATATATATACAAAGAAAATTAGAAACCTAGAATGTGACGGCAGATAAAAACACCCTCACACACAGCACCCCTCTTACATACACACACACACTGCGCCCCTCACACATACAATACGTCAAAATATATATATATATATTTGGACGTATTGTATGTGTGAGGGGCGCAGTGTGTGTGTGTATGTAAGAGGGGTGCTGTGTGTGAGGGTGTTTTTATCTGCCGTCACATTCTAGGTTTCTAATTTTCTTTGTCTGTTAACTCACTGAAGGTTATTGTATGTATATATATATATATATATATATATATATATATATGTGTGCTGTATATGTGTGGGAATGTACTGTGTGTGTGAGCGAGGGTGCTGTCTGAGGTTGCGGTGTGTGAGGGTGCTGTGTGTGTCTGAAGGTGCTGTGTGCTGTGTGTCTGAGGGTGCTGTGTGTGTCTGGGGGTGCTGTGTGTGTCTGGGTGCGCTGTGTGTGTTTGGGTGTGCTGTGTGTGTCTGGGTGCGCTGTGTGTGTCTGGGTGCTGCGTGTGTCTGGGGGTGCTGTGTGTGTCGGGGTGCTGTGTGTGTCTGAAGGTGCTGTGTGTGTCTGAAGGTGCTGTGTGTGTCTGAGGGTGCTGTGTGTGAGGGTGGTGTGTGTGTCTGGGGGTTATATCACCCCCTCCCTTCTTACGTTTAGCCTGGGAGGGGGGGAGCTGTGCTGCCATGGATGGGAGCAGTGCTGAGAGTGAACTCTAACCTGCAGGCTAGAGTTCACTCACACGAGATCTGAGTGTTGCCGTGGTAACCGCGGCAACGCTCAGACTTCGCAAGAGGACCCGGGGGAGCTGCTGGCTAGAGCTCCACCGGTCCTCTCCTGCCTCCCTCCCCAGCCTGCGGCCGCATGTCAGTGACTGTGAGCCGGTGACGGAGATCGTTGGGCCAGTGCTCGGATAGCGCTGGCCCTGCAGGGGCCGGCAGGGGAGATCCTGTGATCTCCCCTGCCGGCCTCGGCCCGCGGCCATCGCGGCCCACCGGACATTTGCCCGGTATGCCCGATGGCCAGTCCGGACCTGTATGGGATGCACAGACTTGCTTTCCATAATAGGCTAAAAGTCCACAACACTTTATGTTGGCTTTGTGTAATTAAAATATATATATATATGTTCTCAGATTGCCTGTCAAAACCTGCTGCATTAAATCATTCTGTCTGTTTTTCTCCTCTGTCTGTGTTACTGCACTCACAAAGAGTCTGCCCCTCTTCCCTACTTCTCCCTTCAGGCATTGCTTTCCCATAGACTGAATTTAAGCAGGAGAAATGCCCAGAGGAGGGTTTCCCTGATAACAGACATGTAGAGCACAGCCTTCTTATCTCTGTGCTGATCGGCACAGACTGAACTGACTGAGAATAGGAGGAAAAGGGCTGTTTTTTAACCTCTGATGTTAGAGGAATCTAGACATTTTCTAGCAACCTTGCATAAATAAAGCTAAATCTCTAGCATTTAAGGTTACAGTGTATTTGTCATGATGTTACCCTATAAGCCAGGCAGGGGCGTACCTAGAGCATTTGGCACCCGGGGCGGATCCTGTGCTTGGCCACAGCTCACACAGCCCCCTCCAGCCAGGGCCGGTACAAGGATTTTTGCCGCCCAAGGCAAAAGTAAAGTTTGCCGCCCCCCATGTGACATCACAATGCCCCAGCCATATGATTTGCCATGTTAACTAACGCCAGTGCTGCAGTGCCGCCGTGTTTACATTAAAAGGCCTGCAGGGACAGGCTATAGACACCAGAACCACTACATTAAGCTGAAGTGGTTCTGGGGACTATAGTGTTTCTTTAATGTGAGGTAAATTAGAGCTTAGTGCCACGAATAATATACTAGATTGCCTACTTACAACCAGATGAGGATGATGATGGGCTCTAGCTGCAGTCTGGCTCCACTGGTCTGGTGCAGAACAGGCTCTCTGGAGGCGGTTTGTAACTGTGGTCACAAAAATCAATGTTCTGGGAGAACGGGAAGCAGCTCCATTTTTGGGGGGTCCTTTACACAGCTCAAGGTCTGGGTCCCAGGGTCCACCTTCATGTTCCACCAATGAGTTTGTTCACAGGGGGTGGAGTGTGTAAGGGATGTCCTGATATGTGTGTAAGGAATGCATTGTGTGAAATTGTGTTTGTATGTGTAAGGGCTGCAAGGTGTGTTTCTGTGTATGTATGGGATGCATTGAATGTGTGTAAGGGGTGCATTGAGTGTGTGTAATGAATGCATTGTGTGTTTCTGTGTGTGTAAGGGATGCATTATGTGTAACGGTTGCATTGCTTGTGTATGTGTGTCTGTGTGTTTTTCTGTGTGCAAGGGGTGCATTGTGTGTATGTTGTCAGGGTATTTATATCGGCAGACATTTTGTGCTATGATAGAAACTAAAAGTGTATATTCTGAGTCACTCTGAACAGATCAGACTCCATTTTGTTATTTCAAGTTAACAAAGAAGACACTAGATTTCTTTCTGTAAGACTGGCCTCTTTGCCAGAGCTAAGGAATGTATAGCATAGTATAAACAAGTGATAAGAAGAATATAATCAAATCTAAACCCAGACAATTGTGACAGAGAAGATTAAATAATTTAATATTTAACTGTCTATATATATAAGGTACCATTGTATGGAAAAGGGTAAACTTAGTTCATGATCTGTCATATCAGAAATTATGGCAGGAATTGCAGACGCTAAGTCTGGACAAAACTTTAAGAAACCCTTTGAAATCTGAATTATGACCACTATCTAGATAGGCCAAAATGACGTCAAAATAGCCACCAGGAAAAGTTAACTCTTTCCTGGATAGGTATGTTTAGTGGGACAAGACTGCCCTCTACAGACCAAATAACTAATTTGCGATCTGGAAGATAACCACACCTCTAGTGCTTCTATTGGGTTATCAACTGATGACGTACAGAGAGTCTGGCCCTTTAAAAGTTAAGACAAAGGGAAGATAGAGATATACGAGGATAGGCAGGGTATGCAAGAGATGCAAAGGAGAGGAGAGAGGAATTGGAAGTTTGGGGACTCCGACCTCCATGCAGAGAGACATCCAAATAAGTTCCTGAGACTACCAATCGGATGAAATATCTACTTAACTGGTAATTATACTGGTTTCATTTAATTAAATTAAATTAATTAAAATGTATTAATAGCATTATATATGACTGGATAAAGCACGGTCAGATTTCCATATTAAGAAAACTTAGTTAACTAAAGAATATATAGTTATAAACATTCCATTCTGCAGGTGGAATTAAGAATAATTATATATTGATGTGATATTATCACGTGTTAGCATACCGTTGTTTTTATCCAGGTATACTGATTTGCTCTAAATTAAGATAGATATCTTTTAGACAAATTAAAAATCTGCTTATATAATATGGTAAATTCTCTTATTGGATGATTTCAGGAAACGGCTAATGAACTGGTTAAATGTTATTTTATTTTAAAATTACATAAGAATAGATCTTAACTACCTAGGAGATCTAGCCAGCATTGAAAGGGTTATTCTAACTGTCTGCTAAACTTTACGACCTTACGCTGCACTCTGAGGAATTCTGTTCTTCGCTGTGAAAAGTTTCACTTAAGTCTGTGTTAAGGATACCTCATAAATCGTCAGAATTCTTGACAGAAAATGCCGTTTAGCCATTGAAACGTAATACCCATTTCTTTGTATTGCATATAATTTTATACTGAATATTCATTGATTATTGTCATGCATGTTACATAATATTATTTGTTAATTAATTTATCATAAATAAAATCTATTTTTATACATTGTGATATTAATTATATGAAATGCATTCCACTTAACACGATAAACGTTCTTTGGGATCTGAGAATTGAATTAGTGGGCAATTCTCAACTGTTTACTATTATTATCCCATAAATATCCCCACATATTGGAGGCACGGTGCTGAGATCGTTTAAGTTGAAATTGTATTTCATATATATAATAATATTGGTGTAATTCATGCAATTTAATCTTGATATAGAAAAGAGTTTTGTATTGAGATTAAATCACTGTATAGAAATATGGCTGAATCCAGTAATACATCTGTAACAGATAATACTGAAATAATTGAAGACCTAAGAAAACATGCTCTAGTTCATATTCATAAACATATGAAAAATGATGCAACCTATGAGGTTTGGTTGAAAAGCATAGAATGGGAAGCTAAACACACCATTCTAACTGATGAACACATCATCATATATCTTAAAGAAATTGCTGAACAAAAGAACATAGAAAGGAAAATGGCGTACATAATACACTCTTGGCCTTTCTTTATGACAGCACTTCTTAAGGTGTTAGATGAAAACAAGTCACTGAATGCCAAATTGGACACGTACAGTGACGATTTGGGCATTCAAAATGGGAAATACCAAGATTTACTTGCTGAGCATAAAACTCGTCAGGCTGATCATGAAAAAGAAATGAAAGCTTTGATGGATAAATATGCACAGGAAATAAATCAGCTTAAAATGCAATTGGATGAGTATGAAAAGGAGAGTCAGAAATTAGACAGTGAGGTTGGTAGTCATCATTCTGTGCCAAAAAGTTGCACAAAAATGCAAGAAAAGACTATTTGTAAATCCCCTCCTTATTATGATTTTCCCACACCAAACCAGGTTTTCATAAAACAGTCTGTAAGTAAAGGTGTGAGTAATTCTAAAAAATCACCTGTGGAACAAGATTCCCCATCTCATGACATTACCAAGCCACCTTGGCAATCTTGGGCAGAACAGTTTGAAAAAGCTGTCTTGGCCAAACTTGAGAGGGAGAGTCCAATTCAAGATGATAGGAATGAAAACAGACATGGTTCTGTACACTGGCAGGATTCTGATGCTGATCAGAATTGTGACAGTGAACAAGAAGCTCAGAGTGATGGGAGTGAAAGTGATTGCACTATCCACTCTGAAGGCCATGTAACTGATATGCCATCTGCGCTGTTGTATGGGTCTAATTCCTCTTCAGCAGACAGATCGCATAGACGTTTACCCAAACACAGAAACAGAGATCGTAAATCAACGACGCCTGTTTATGAAACACCAAAGGTCATCAAATTCCTTAGAGAGACTGTCCCACAATTTTCTAGAGGTTCAGGAAACATATCTGAACATCTGGAAAATTATGATAGAGCAATGAATTCATTGGGCATGTATGATGACATTCATAAGAAATGGTTCATTACATGGACCTTTGATTCAATGTGCCGTGTTTATCTAGAAAGTCTTCAAGCTATACAGTTAATGTCCTGGTCCAAGATGAAATATGAAATAATCATGGAATATGGTAAGTATAAAACCATTGCCTCTGCAAAGAAGGCGCTTTATAACTTAAAGTGCCGTCCAGATCAAAGCCCCAGAGAATTTTTAATAATTCTTAAAAATGCATACTCCGTGGCCCAAAGAAAACCCAGGTATGAAAGCACAGACTTCAAAGATCTGTATTTTCATGCCATGCCAGTAAACATACAAATGAATCTCGCAAGAGATTACGATTGTAAGTTGCCATTAGAATGGCTAGTCAGTCAGTGTATGAAATTGTACACTATACACCATGCACATGACGAAAATCAGCCAAAGGTTAAGAAACCTGGTGATAAAATGGTGTCAGAGACTAAAACTCAGTTAGGTTTAGAAACCCAACAGAAAAAGAGGACCTATTCCGAGGTTTTGAAAACACCAAAACCTCAGAAACAGGAAAACGCCAGAAGCAATTCTACAAATTCCTCTAATAACTCTGAAAAGTCCAATGCCAATGGGAATAAACGCCCCTGGGTTAATAAGAACCAAGGCAATTCCCAATGGAGAAGGAATCCTCAGGGAAATAGGAGATATGGAAACAGAAATAACCAATCTGCTTCCAGTAACTCCCAACAGTCTCAGCCATCCCAGCCAAGTTCTAATGGGCAAAGACAAAACGGCAATGGAGGAAATAATTTGCGTCGTCAGGTTGGTCAATTGACAGACCAGATGGGCAAATTAATGGAGGGAATGACAAAGATTAACGAAGTCTTTGCCAGAAATCCTTTTTTAGGGATAGCTCCAATTGCAGAACTACCTGTGCAACCGCAGCAACAACAACAGGTGCCGCAGCAATAATAGCCACTGTGACTAAACAGGCTAGGTTATCAGTAGATGTAATACCTAACCCTGTTTCCTTTCCAGGTACTCATAGTCAAATAAACAATAGTTGTGTTAGAAAACCTATTGCCTATACCGTCACTTCACTTTCGGGTGAAGGAGGCGCAACGTGTTCCTCTGTTTTTTCATTGCAGCCAAAGGCTAAAGTAGCCCCAGCAACTACTAGTTTCCAGGATCCAGACCTGAAAGGGTTAACTGATGAGATGCCGACCACTAGTTCCCGCTTGACAGTTCAAGTTATTCCTAAAAAGGATGGGCCTGTGGGTAAGACTGAGCATTCCTCAGTACAGGTAGAAACTACTGCTGTGACCGGTAATGTATGGAAAACAAGTAATATGTTGACACATTCTAAATTCTTATGTGAATTAGAAGAACATGAAGGAAGGTACTACATGTCTGTAGAAATACAGGATTCGCTACCCCAGCCTTTTAAAGGGTTAATAGATACTGGTTCACAAGCCACTATCTTATCCAATACCTACTTCCAGCAGGTAATGGACTTAGCAACGGATAAGCCGAAGCTAAGAGATTTCCCCAATGCTCTGTTGAGTGTAGGAGGAAATGCCCTTCATGTTATTGGCAATACCTGGTTAAAGTTTAAAATAGGTAACAAAACCTTTAGACACCCGGTGATAGTGGTAGATCTCCCCTATGACCGACTGATTCTGGGTATAGACATACTCAGAAGACTTAACACAATTATTGACTGTGTGAATGGAATTGTATGGTCACAAGCTAAGGTTCCCATAACCTATGAGAAATCACATGTACAATCTGATCGTAACTGCCATGTGATAGAAGAAAGACCTGACTCGATTGAGGTACATTTTAGAAATAGTCAGTCACCTGACGTGACTATCCTGCAGGTGAATGATGCAATCGCACCTGTAGATGAGCATTCCGTAAGAATTGCTCCAGAGAGGATCCAGAATGTCTCTCTGGAAGGTGATGTTTTAACCATTTCTCTCCACAGGGACTATGTTGAATCTGTAGATCTGGCAGGTCATGCTCAATTCCTTGCCAGAATTGAAAGGGTTAATA